GTAAGTCGTCATTGGTTCATCGATACTTGGAAGAAAATAGTTTATTTTCCGATTCGACGTTTATGCTTCGATTCTTTAACCCTTTCGCTGCTGTTGGCGCTTTGAAAATTTTCGCGCACTGTGCTGTTCTTCAAATTCAATCCTTCGAGTGCTCGCACTTTAACTTGCTAATGGAAATTTGAAAATGATAAATTTTTAAAATTTTTAATCCTTTGAGCACTCTCACTTTAACTTAATAACAGAAATTTCAAAATGACAAATTTGACAAATTTTCAGACGCCAAAACGAGAGATTTTGCCGATAACCTGCCGCAGCGAAAGGGTTGACTCTTTATGGCTCGTTACCGCGTCTCACACCGTGCGCCAACTGATCCTCCAATAAGTGCAATTTTACTTTAGTAAAGTTGAGAAAGATGTGATACTTACTGCTGCAATTTGGTTAACGGATTATCTAATACAATTTCTATTTCTATTTCGCGACTCCACCGGGAGAAATATCATTTCTACGATTTCTTCACCGTGTACCTACGTATCACCCGAGCGTTAAGTAAAAGCGACAGAAGTTCCTCTCGGACAAGGTTGTGCAAAGCATTGGAGAATAATACGCGGAATCGGATTTCTACGCCTCGAGCCAGAAAGTTCGATATACGAGCCTGTGGCTTCGCTGAAAATAGAAAAGAACGTCTTCTACCTGGATGCACGATTGCTATGCTAATTAGCAATAATTTAGCCCGTCATATCCGGGATTATCTAGCGTCGCCAAAAATCCTCTCTCGCAATCCGGAACGAATTTTTTCTCACTCCCTCCCTTCTTTTTTCTCGCTTTCTTTACGAACAGCGAGAGAATCTTCAGGACATGTCGCTCCTTTGTACCCTCTCTGCTTAATATGCGAGAAAGGACGCTTAGGTTCGCCGTGCTGCATCAACAAGCAGGCTGGTGTGCGTGGTCGGGACACCTACCCCTCGGGAAACCACCCTGGAAGAAGGAATCTCGTCGTTGGTTACTATGAGTTAGGCTCTTCCTTTCGAGGGATTTAGGAGAAATCCTTTTGAACTGGAGAGCACTCGAGCCTCCGTAGTATTTATTTCGCTGATCTCGAGACGCGATTGGGACCGGTGCTCTTTGTGCCCCGAGACGAATCGAGGTTTTTTAGTCCTTTTTATTTTTAGAGAGGCTGACACGGTTTCTTTGAATCGCTTCTTCTTTTTTTTTTTTTTTTTTGTCCATAGGACGTGGAGGATTTTTGAATACGCGGGGATTAGGTCCAAGTGGGAAAATGATTTGATGAAACTTTTAGTGCGAGGTGTTAACCATGTACAGTGTTAATATTTTTCACCTCTGCGGTGGAATTTTTGAAAAGCGAGTTTTGCTTTGAAAAGAAAAAGGAAATTCTCTCGATCTTGATATCAACTGTGTACGTATACAGTAGCTAGGTATAGTCGATGGAAGAAATATAGAATGGAAATATCGAATATAGAGATGGAAAAGTTTTTAATATTTCTGAATTTATTTATTTCTATCTCCCACATTACTTTGCTTCACTTTAATAATATAAATAAACTATAATTTTGTATTTCAAAGTTCTCCAGCGAAGTGAAAGGGTTGGCACTCCGAGTTCCATTCTCTCTCCTTCAAATGTGTTACAAAATTCTAAAACTATAAAAAAATATAAAACAAACGATTCTTTTTCAGAGTTACTGAAAAATGAAGAATTACTTGTCACGAACACCGCAGTAGTAGAGATCTACCCGACGTATTCACGCTTGTCACAGGATACCTAATTTCCTCACTTTTTGCGGTGCATTAAAAAGAGAATTCAATTAGGCAGTTAGTATCCCCGTAACGGCCTGTGAGAAAAATGTCTGGGAACCGGAGTGTGTGTCACGTGTTCACCGTGTATCAGCCAGAAACAGCATACTCGTGCGGCCGTACCAGGTGTAGGTAATATACCGATCGAGGCAAAAAAAAAAAAAAAAAAAAAGAAAAGAGAAGGAAGGGTTAATCCAAAGAGAATGCAGAACGTCGCCGTCGTGAGCAAACAGAAAGCTGGTCCGAGTTTTCGTGGCTTCTATAGAGAAAAGTACAAGTGGCCTCGTGAAAACGTGGACAGACTCGTGACTTCGATAACGATTATCGAGCGGCGATCGAAGGTAGGAACGAGCGCGTTCCATGTTCGAGAGCTATTCCTAGGAATATAATCGACGTTGTGGCGGGTGAAAGTGTGCGAAAACGGGCCCAGAAACGGTGCCGGGGATAAGAATGCCGCGTAAAAGTACGTGTCCCTCGTGGAACAATGACGATGGGAAACGGAACGAAAGAGAAGGATCGAGGAGCAGGAGGGAGGATTGTGCGGTATCGAACGTGTACGTCGAAGAATTCCAATAGCGTTAAAACCGCGAAAATTACACTGTGAAAGAGAAAATGAAGACAATGAGGAACGTCGAAACGGGCAATTATCGCGAAACTGACGCCGGAGAAATGGGAGTGAGCGACGTCACGGTTCGATGATTGATTTAGCATGGGTCTTTGGTGTGCCAGCGATCGAGGATTTATTCGAGTATCGGACGATAGACGTGGAATTTTCTCTATCTTCGTGACGTTCGTAGATAATTAACGAATTTTTAATATTCCAAGCTGAGGTAATTGCAAAATTTGTTAAAATACGAAGGAAAGCAAAATTATTCTCACTTCTGAGTGTCGAGAATTTGTAAATTTTGAGAATTACGACGTTCTTAGATAATAAACGAATTTTTAATGTTCCAAGTTAACACTAGAACTACCAGCCCAATCAGAACGACCCATTAGCGACTTTCCAAAAGTGAAGTTTTATGTAAGTAAACCGTGATTGGAAAATTCGATTCATACCGATACAAATAGAAGCATACATGTAGAATATAAATTCGGAAAGTTACCAGCGATAATACTTACCAGTATTGAACATTCGCGTCTTTTCGAAAGGTGCTAATGGATCATCTTGACCCGGTCGGTAGTTCTGGTGTTAAGGTAATTGCAAAATTTGTTAAAATACGAAGGAAAGCAAAATTATTCTCGCTTCAGAGCGTCTAGAATTTGTAAATGTTGCTTAGAATGCAGAGCTTCGAGGGATCTAGAAATAGAATTCTCTTGAAGATGAAAGAACGAGATCCTCGACTTGGAAAGCAAAATTGCTCTCACTTCCGTAGATCGAACTTTCTCTAATTTCACAAATAAAAACGTATCCAACTCCACAACTGCCTAGCTCGTAGAATTTGAAGCTCCTCCGATTTCCATTTCCTCCTCGACGAAATTTCCTCGATCCCCGAGTATCCCCGGCGCGATTCAATTACCGGGTGAAAGCCGAGGCAAAGAAGCGAATCTCGAATCGCAACCGCACAGCTCAATCGATTAAGCGGCGTACAAGTCTCCCCCCGAAAAAAAAAACTTGGCTCTCCGACGATGTTCTATATATATTTGGTCACGGTGTCTAGTCATCTGCGCGTCGAAAATCACGTGAGAGGCGGTCAGGTGAATAAAAACGGTGACACACGAGCCAGCCTCCGCTCAGATCGGAGTGCTTACTTCCGGCGTGTCGATGATTCATGCCGCGCGAAATCGAGCTTGCTTCTCTCAGTCTGACAGCTTCGAACCAACCTCACTCTTCTTCTCCGCTCGTGTTTTATATTTGCCAAGTGTGCAAGTGTGTACGTTCGTGAGCGAATTTCACGATTAACAAACTCGTCGATTAATCGAGATGTTCGTCAAATACGTGGATGTGTTCGTGGACGAAGGCTACGTGTCCGATTCGATGAACGTAGGTATCGTGAGAGAGAAAAACTTCACTGAGACATAATAAACGGTGTGATCAGGATTAAATAAAGAGCGATACTCGTAGTGTAATTGAATGTGGAAACGTGTCTCGAGATCGTGCGATACCGGTGTGTGTTCGTTTATGATAATGACACGGCAATTGCTCAATCGTTGGCGATCGATCGCCGGATAAATCGACACCGGGGACAAATTTGGGCTCGTTAGCGGCTCGTTTTTTCTTGTTCGGCTACTCAACTAGGATTAACCGCGATTTGGCCGGCTTTCAATCGATCCGCTGATCGAATCACCTTTGTAGATCGATCACTGTAATACAGAATCCGATTCCTGGTTCAACCGAGGAAGAAGTGGTACACTTTCGTTACGAAACTGGTCGCGTGTGGGTGGTACGAGGGAACTGGTCGCATTTTAATTGAAAATTTCGAAGCACGTGAGACGTGCAACACGCGTAACCTTCGATATGCAAGATCGAAGGAATCGAGAAATTTCTAGAAAATTCGTACTGTGCACTCTTTTAATTAAGTGTATAAATTCGCGGAATTACAAGCTAGCCGCGATATTTCCGGCGATGTCTCACGGCGGATCGCTCAACAATGAAATCTCGCTGATTTATAAATCGTGCTCTCCTTTGGCACGAGTGGTCCTGGCCAAGTCGTGGGTGGTTAATTCGAAACAGAAGCGGAAATTCGAGCGGCTGATGCGAATTGTTCGTGCCTCCTAACAATTAAACAATGAATCACGTCTCTCTCTCGTAGACGAGTTAAGTTTAAGTTACCTTCCTCGAACGAAACTCTCTGTGGCGTGATTGAACGGCGAGTAGTCGCCGTGGCTCTGTGAAATTTACATAACTCGCCTCGATGTATCGCTCACGACGATTACACGGATCGTTCTGGCTGAGAAGAAACCATTGGATCGTTTTTCGCGCGTTACGACTCGCTAATTTCGTGCGTCGATCTTACAGGGAAACGAACGTTTCAGCCGCCACACGTTTCCCAGTGGTTTCCTTTTCCTACTTTCACAATCGCCGGGCTTACAACTTCGCATTATAGTAATTGCAGAGAGATTCCGCAAGGTGTTGCGCAAAAATCCGACGATCTACCAGTTAGATCGATCGAAGGACGAGAATGTTACACTCGGATTGTTCTATGATTTGTGTGAAATATTAAGGGGAAATTTGTTTGTCCGAAATGTTGCAGGTCCAGAGGCTGGCCGAATACGAGAGGTACCTGGGCCAGGAAGCAAGGAACCTAGTGGAGAACGGAAACGGAAGCGTCGGCAGCGGCGCCGTTCTCCAGCGCGGTCAGCTCGAAGGCGATCTCCATCGTATTCAAGAGCTCTTTCCTGGAGACAACCTCCGGCTACACGAACGAGATGTCCTCACCACGGTACTTGTTCATTTTATCGTGCTTTTATCAGTACTAGTTTCTCCCGGAAACGTTCTTTTTTTTTTTTTTTTACCATTCCACGGTTGTGTGCACTGTCTGTTCGTGAGTGTTGAGACAGCCAGTATGGTCTTGCATAAAGTACTATACTTCGTAATGATGTATCGGTAAAAATACGTTTGGTAGAAAATTCTCGATTTGTTCGTGTTACTCAATATGACGACACGATATTATGCAAGTAGTTACCATTATCGTGACTATTTTAATTTAGAGTAATTTTTTATTAACAAAGTTTTATTACACCAGTCTGGATATTGTTTATTCTTCTAATATTTGTGAACGTGAGTGTACATAGCAGCTTACGCGCTGCTTCCGGCTAGAAATATATCAGCTATGGCGTTCCAGCGATTCTCACGAGAATTTGCGCGAGCATTTTTCCTGGCATTCGTGGAAAGCAGTCGTTTACACGTCGTATACGGTATTTCCCACGCATCTCACAGAACACCATACCATGACAGTGTACGCCCTGCATCATTTGCATGAGCGACAGATGACGTCTCGTCGAAAAGAACGCGATGAGAGCGAGTAGGAAACGCGTGCTACACTTGTTCACTCAGTCGGTATAATTCGTGAAAGAAACATAGCTATGAGCCAAATTTAGGGTATTTATCCTCTCACATTTCTATCTAAACTCTGACCAATTTTCCGACCTTGCTACATTTCTTCCTTAAACTATACACAATTCGAGCCCTCGAAACATCAATTCTCACAGCTGAATGTTTCTTTTTTTCTTAATACCATTGCGACGATCAAAGACACACATACACATACAGAGTCGATACAAATTTCCATTCTCGTCAACGAATGACAACTCTTTGCCCCGTCGAGTCATCGTCCCACGTGCACCGCGATTTGCATACTTGGCGTAAAGAGTATTGTCAAGAGCAGGGATTACGGGGCATCGTAGAGAGATCACAGCACGTCCATCCATCGCCATAGGTGAACGCGTGCTCGCGTTTCTCAATGCTCCAACAGTCACCTTGCACACGCTACGCTTACTTAGCTACTCTCTCTCGCTCTCTGGGGAATGCTGATGGAACGCGCCTGGTTCCACGAATCGCGAGAAGAATCATCGCGAGTCACCATCTGGTTACCTTGATTTCTGCAACGTTCATTAACATACGATAATTCAACGGGGCTGTGTATTTATCACAGTACTCTCGGGAGTTCTCAGAGACTTGGAGACTAGAAACATCGTGGGACACCATCGATTTCGTAAGAGAAAAACAGAGAGAGAGAGGAGAAAAAATATGAAAAGACTTAGACGAATGACGGAGAGATTCGAAGGCAAGCTGTGTGCCGCCGTCAAAGCGATGTATGTTAATCAGTCTGTCCGTGGCCGTGTGTAATTTCGTGTTTCGTGGCGTCTTCTCGCTATATTTGGTGGGGTTATTTGTCAGCCGTAACTGTTCATCCGTCTCTCCGCGTCTCGACGTCACTGGACGCCTCCTATGGAATCCCTCGAACCGAGTTGCACCACGGAAACTGTACAGTCTCTCGTTCAACTTGCTGCTGAACATAATGAAAATATTAGAAAATTATACGTCGTTTTCTAATTAAACTATAAATATAACGACACGAAAGAGGAGAACGTCGAGAGAATTACGGTAACGCGAGAAAGTTGTTCATTTGGAGCGGCATACTTGGAAAGATTAAATTGACACGGCTGCCAGCGAAATTTTCGAGCGCAAGTTAGCCGATAGAGCGGGTGAAATAATGCTGTTAAGTCATCCGAAAGTTAATGCGGCTTGGCACGTTGGCGTCCGGTTATTAGCCGCCTGCTGCGCGGATGATAATAATTTATGTCCTAGATCCGAGCATCAAAATTGGTCATTACTTTGTGACCCTTTAGCGCCGCGCGCTTCGTAACTGGATAGAAACGGTGTGTGTGTGCGCCTTTCTCCACTCTACGATAATTTAACGCTAATCCCTTTAACACGAGGAGGGTGCCAGATACTCTCTACGTCGATATCCCTTCGATTCACCGATAATCGAGTCGGGTCCAGTGATATTTTCGTTCACGAATATAGATAATCTCGTTCGTGGTGTATACGACGAACCGGTTAATTGGCTAGTAGAGCGAGGTTGAAGTGGACGATGGAGGAATTTCGTGTGGCTGTTTGAAACCGTGGAATGGTATCGTCGCTGGATCCAAAGATAGCGATTCGTTTGTTATTGAGTGAAGAAACCACGGTACGGTCTGTTTCGTTTCAGAAAATGAAGAGTCTGATCCGTAAGAGGAACGGCGGTAATCCTGGAAGGCTTACGAGAGTGTTGTCGCAGAAGTCGTTGAACGTGTCCAGCAATTCCCCGGCACCGAAATCGCCGCCTAGGACGTTCCTCTTGGAGACTCCGGTACAGTTTACCACGGTAAGTGATAATCATTATTTCAACCCATTTATGTCACTTGAACAAAATGAAAAATAGGTCCTTAACGCGAAATTTGAGTAATCTGCGATTATTCGCTATACGAATTGTAAAGATCATCTCCTTCTTTCATTCAGGGTGTGCAATCTCAAGACAGACACCTCTTCCTCTTCTCCGACCTGCTGCTCATAGCAAAAGCCCGCAGCGGTGGTAACTTCAAGCTGAAGCAATCCGTAAGAATGAGCGAGCTATGGCTGACAGCTGGCCACATAGAGGATGTAGCTGAAACAAGTAAATCTCAAGAAACTAGCTTCGTCCTTGGTTGGCCCACTACGAACGTCGTGGCCACTTTTATGTATGTACTTCTTATTCCTACATTCTACCTCCGTTCAACCGTGTTACCTACCGCCTCCCGTAACAAACTACAATTTCACCAAAGACCACGGGGCCAGAGTATATTCTTTTAAAGGTGCAACATAAAACGGTGAACGTGAAAGTTGGAATGGAGTGTCGAATTTAATCGCGACGCATCACACGGAACGTTTATTCCTTTCTTCCAGGACCGCTGCAGCGAGGGATCTCTGGTGGGGACGTCTGACCGAACTCGTACGAGAGGAGAGTATGAAGGAGCCGCCGGACACGAACATTCAAGTCGTGTATCACGACAGTGACACGAACACGGAATACGTAAGTGCTGCACCGCACGCTTCTCTCCGCCAATATCCACGCTATATAACACGCTATACACCGAGCCCAAGAAGAAGAAGAGAGAAAGAGAGATACACGCGGTCACGCCTTCACGGTCCATTCTTCGCACATCCTCTCCCCACCCGATTTTACTCAGAGAGACCGTGGTGGTGTTCGATCGCTTGACCTTCCTGGAGGCATTCTTCTTCGAGATGCCCCTTTTATATCATTGACGTCAACGGCGAGTGGATCGGATTCAGGCTAAAAAGAGCCTCCTCTCGTTCGCCTATCTGAAGGCCTTTATCGACGCTCTCTTCTCGGTCCACTCTCGCGCGGTGTTCATTATCGACCGGCGCATTTAAATACCTCGCGCCGGCTCGACGCCGCTATTAAAGAAGACGCGAGCTGCCTTCCCCCTAGACGTTTGCCGGAAGCCAACATCCAGACGCGCGTCCTCTTCGCGCTCTCCTAATAACTATAATCGCGTGTGTGCACGCCTCGACTACACTGTCCTCTCTCTTTCTCTCTCTTAATCTGAATGTGTTTTGCGCATACGTTGCACGTGCGATTACCATACTCTCTCTCGAACGCTATCCTGTTATTCGTGTCGCGAGCTACATCCGCGTTGCTTCGTCTGCTTCCAGAGCAAGACTATTATGGTCGGGTCCGAGATGACGGCGGCTGCTTGCGTGAATTTGGCTACCAGACTGTTAGATCTGCAGGGACCTTTCCAATTGTGGGCTAGAACGTCCGCAGACGAGGCGCCGTATCCTCTGATCGGTCATGAAAGACCGTTTGCTGTTAAACTGTCCAATTTGAGACACACCTTGTCCGCGGAAGAGGGTTTCGACTTGGAGCATTGTAACAAGAGCGGTCACGACACGTGTCATTTCATCCTGAGGCCTGTGCCCAAGTCACCTGTGAAGAAGAACAAGTCGAAGATCACTGGTTTACTCAGGAGATCGCTCTCCTTGAATCCTAGCCTGTTCGGTGTGAATTTATCTAGGTTAGACGAGAACGGATTACCGAAACCTGTGTTGGTGATGCTGCAGCAACTGTTCGCCAAAGGACCGTTCACACAGGGCATCTTTCGAAAATCGGCGAACGTCAGAATCGTGAGGGAATTGAGAGACCAGATAGAATCCACGGGAGATCCTAGCTGCTTGGAGGATGCTCCTATCATAGCGGTGGCAGCTCTGCTTAAAGATTTTCTCAGATCTTTACCGGACCCACTGCTAACTTCCCACTTGTTCCCACTCTGGATGGACAGCTTGGACACGCCGAATCCTGTTCAGACAATCAAAAAGTGAGCAGAGAAGGAATATACATCTTCGTTGAACTGTTTCTTTGCAGAAGTGTTTGTTAACCGAACGTTCGTGGTTTCAGTATCCTAGATAGATTGCCTAAAGCGAATTACACCCTGCTGTCGCACTTGATCTGCGTTCTCCATCACGTGGCTCGACGGTCGAAGCACAACCTGATGTGCGCTAGTAATCTTGGCGTGTGCTGCGGGCCAAGTTTACTCTGGTCGCCTAATCCGTCGGTGAACCAGAGCAGGGCGATTCCTGCGTTAACAGAAATGCTGATTCGTCACTGCGAGGTCCTCTTTGGCGAGGGCGTGACGCAGCTTCTCGGGGAAGAGCGCAGCGACAGCGGAGCTGAAGAGAGCACCGATAGCCTTCACTGTGAGTATTCTTGCCTCGTCTCTTTCTCCTCGTTTCCTTCTGATGAATCGGTAATATATGGAGAACGTCTCTGTTCAATTGAAGTGTCTCGATAGTCCACTGAGGAATGTCTCTCGTTGCAGCAGGTGGGCTTTCCCTCGACAGCCTGGACCTGACGGAACCACCGCGAAAAGACCACATGTCTCTCTCGAGAGATTCCGGTCTGACCCTGTCGGACTGTCAGCTGTTCATTCCAGAGTCACCAGTGGGCTCCGAGGATTCCGCCGTGAACGCCTCGTCGTCTAGCTTCGACAAATCCCTGACCAAGGAGGAGAAGTCCACCAGTAAATCTTACATTCGCGTGTACGGCGGCTGGGAGGAGAGAATAAACGTGTACACGTCTAACAATCACCATACCAGCGCCGTGGATCATAGTTTCAGAGAAGAGAAGAACAACATAGGTTATCCAAATCCGAACTTCCAAAGGCAAGATTGGCTGAGGGCACAGCTGAAGAGGACACCGCGTACGAAACTCGACGAGCACGATCATCGTAAAGAGAGGTTCGACGAGAAGGATATATACGCCAGGGAGTATCTCAGGCAGGATTCGATGAAGGAGAACGTAGAGAATTGCAAGGACATCTACAGGAACTCGCAGCTGGACATATCGCGGGATCTTCGGTCGGAGTACGAGCGTGCCACGCAGCAGGACATCTGTACGGAACGGGTCTCGATTCACAATTCGGAGCAGGACCTTACCGGTGACCAACGAGTTCAAGAAGGTGAAGTCGGAGATGTATGTTAATCGCGAGTCACCGGTCTCGCAGAACGGTAGCTACCATTCGGGCAGCGATCTCTACGAGTTCAAGAAGGTGAAGAGCGAGATCTACGTGAACAAAGAGACGACGCGTACGGAACGATACGAGTCCGAGAGCAGTATCTATGGGAATAGGGATAGAACGAGCGAGATATACGGTTCGAGGGAGAGGAACGATTTGTACTCGTTCAAACAGGCGGAGGCGATCGATCTGTACGGCGACGAGGACGAGGAAGAGGAGAGAACGTGGCCAGATACACCGCCTCCGCTACCGCCGCGATTGAGGCATCTGCCACCGGTGCATATGAATCTCGAGGACAGGCACAAAGTGGCGGGAAGGTCAAGATCTCTTCCGCCACCGCCTCCGTATCGTCCGCCTCCTCAACCTCGCGCCTCCGTTACCACTAGACACCTGGGATATGGAAGATCTGTCGTCGACGACGAGAGCTACGTCTAACGCGGCCGCGAAAGTAGAGAGACCAGCCACGAACGCGTGTATATGTGTATGTGTATGTGTGCACCTCGAGAGAATCAAAGAAGCGAAAAGTCGCTGGTCGAGATCGTCACGGATGCACGTTTGGTGTATACTCGTGTATCCGTGTGTGGTTTCGTCACGACGACTGAAACTAGTCCAAAAAAATGGAACGATATCGGGGAACAATTAGCGATGTGTATTATATCTAATAATTACATTACGGTGGTTACATCGAGGGGAACTTCATCCGTTCGTTTCGTTTAATTCGTGTAAATCCACGGTAGGATCGGGAGAGTATAATTACAGCACTGCCTTCTTAACTGCGGCTTCCGTTATTCTCGCTCGCACGCTCGATGCTTCTCACTCTCTAACTTCGAATCCCATTCAGAAGGCGAGCGAGCCAGAGAAAGGAGAAACAGTCGGAAATTCATCTCCCTCGATTCGCAAACCGTCGCAGTTTAAGCGGGCACGGCTGTATATAATTAGAAACGTGTACGCGTAAGATAAAAAAACGAGAGTCACAAATATAAAAAAACCGCTATCGATTGTTGGCGATTCTTAGTGAATAGAATTTGACTGTTATACAGTGATTCAGGGTGCTTCCACGAGCCTTAATTGATAGGTTTTATT